ACAGCCAAGGTCCAAAGATACCTCCGATCTACGTACATATAGATCTATTCATGTGATGATGTTACGGATAGAGTCGACACTAAATACCAACAGATCGGTTAGAATGTATTGACCTTGTTTAACGTATAACACACTTTTTGCACTTGGCACTGACCTGGATTGGATTCAAGTTCGTTTGTGAACTTGACTCCAGTAATGATTGGTATAGACATTAAATAGTAAGATACGTTGACAGTACATTGCGTCCATAGAAATGGGGTCACAACCGTCGGAACTAGGTAATCGCAGCGCTGAATGGACTACTTTTAAACCCGATACAACGCGACAGTAATGGCCCTACCGTATCTTCTGACGTCATCAAGTTATTTAGTTAATGTAGATTTTATTTAAATGCAAAAGTATGTGCTACCATGACCGAATTGGACTCTAAAAATATCAACTTGTAACTGAACACATTAAATACCAACTGCCAAAGGACGCCTATTAGGCGTGAATTCGTGAATCGGGGAAATGCCGTGTACAGATAGAAACGAGACCACAGTGTTGTCATCAATTGCATAATGATATTTCAATAATCTCAAAAATCATTCCGGAGGACGCCCGGTCATGTCGTTTATCACAATTACGTGATTCTACTTCTGGTTTGCGAAGTTCTTTATTGCCGTTAGTTTAATTCTTATCTGAATTGTTTGTCAAGCTAATATATACCCATTTATCATACAAGATACAAGACATCGAAAATCTAAATAACTAATCTGTGATGCAGGTTTGCTTTTAGTCCTTTAATTGTGTCCGGAATTTACTTTTTGTAAACACTGTGACGAACCAAAGAATCCTTTAAATTTGTTTTTAAAATATGGAATCTCGAAATTACGTTAATGTAACAGACGTCAATCATATTTAGATTCGATGTTAAGGAAAAGCAATTTTTCGAAAGTATCGAAAGGTTACGATTTCTTTCCCAATTTTGGCTTGCCCTGCGGTGATCATTATAGACCAGTGACAATAAAGCCAGCCGGAAAATTTCATGCAAAACTGACAAACACAACGAGTGTACGCCGCCAAGAATTGTGACGAAACGACAATTTATCTTCAAACCTACACGTTATGTGATTTATATTTCAGTGTATTCAACAATACGAGACGTCATTTACATACCAAAATGTGCTGATATTTATATGTATTGGCAATCGCCGCCGACACAATTGTGCCCTGTATGCAAATCAATTCTAAATTGAGACTAGTATTCAACCCCTAAATGTCACACATGTCTATTTCCAAGAATCAATTTCATTGATGCTGTGTATTGACATGGTAACGAGCTTAGCATGTCGTTTCCAGAAACCCCATTGATTTCCCGATACTTGCATACATGTTTTATCATGGAAATAAATTGTTGTCTGTATCAGTCTGATATTTTTTACATTATACACGAAATACGTTTTAAAATGTTCACACGATAAAAAAAGTGAATGCGAAAATGACACATTTATATATCGTCGTTGGAAAATCCAGACGAGTGCTATTCTGTTAATATTTTAAGCATTCAAAATACACTCTTAAGTTCTTAAATAGATACTCGAGCCCCCCCCCCCCCCCCCCCCTAAAACAAGAGGCCCAGAGGGTCTGTATCACTCACCTTGATAATAAAGTAACCATGGAAAATTATTCTTGTTACATAAAATCCCTCCAATGGTACAGAAGAAGGATTTTAAAGATTTAAACCTCAAATTTCCCTATTTGGCCCTGCAACTCTCAGCACTCAGGGTATCAACCTTCGTTTTCAAAGGTTTTTACCTCTACTTCCCCTATTCCGCCCAATCCCTCTGCCCCCAGGAGGGCCACACCCACCGTTTAAACAAAATTGAGTCCAAGCTTGGCCAAAGGATGCTCCAGACCGAATTGGGATAAAATTCCTTAATCCCTATGGTAGAAGAAGGATTTTAAAAGTCTTAACCTTCATTTCCCCTATTGGGACCCACATTTCTGCCCCCAGAGGCTCAAAACCTATCCTTAATACAAAATTGAGTCCCCTTCGCCCAAGGATTCTCAAGTCCAAATAATTATTTTCCCTATTGGGCCGACGAATGCTCCAGACCAAATTCGGATGAAATCTCTTAATCCCTATGGTGGAAGAAGGATTTAAAGGTTTACCTCTATTTCCCCCAATTGGGCCCGCCCCTCTGTCCCCAGGGGAGCCACACCCACCGTTTATACAAAATTGCGTCCCCTTGGCCAAAGATGCTTCAGGCTAAATTGGGATGAAATCCCTTAATCCCTCTGTAGAAGAAGAATTTTAAAGGTTTACCTCTATTTTCCTATTCGGCCCCACCTCTCTGCCCTTAGGGGAGGCTACATCCACCGTTTATACAAAATTGAGTCCCCTTGGCCCAAGGATGCTCCAGACCAAATTAAGATGAAATCAATTAATCCCTATGGTAGAAGAAGAATTTTAAAGGTTTACCTCTATTTTCCTATTCGGCCCAACCTCTCTGCCCTTAGGGGGGCTACATCCACCGTTTATACAAAATTGAGTGCCCTTGGATCAAGGATGCTCCAGACTAAATAAGGATTAAATCCCTTTATCCCTATGGTAGAAGAAGGATTTTAAAGGTTTTACCTTTATTTTCCCTATTTGGCCCTGCCCCTCTGCCCCCAGGGGGGCCACACCCACCATTTATTCAAAATTGAGTGCCCTTTGCCCAACCATGATCCAGACCAAATTTAGTTAAAATCCACTAAGCCGTCAAGGACTAGTAGCATTTTAAAGCAAAAGTTGACAGATGGACGTCGGACACTGCGCCATGGGCACTGCGCCCTTCGGGCAGGTGAGCTAAAAAAGTACTGCCAGTACTTAAAAAGATTAACACAAGAAACAAGAAAAACGTAATATTCATCAATATCCAACTATAATTTTGTTTTGAAGATACATAACACCAAAAGAACAACTTCGAGAAGGATATAAAGGCAAACGTCTGCGTTGGGATTAACTTATGGGGCAAGTTTGGCATCAAATCTGAAACGGTTTAGTGATATTCTACGGAAAACGTGCACCAAATGGTATCTTTTGGGCATTGTTTCCATGACGACTCCAAATTTCTTTTAATTAAAAAGGGATAATAACAAAGGTACTCTTCTGCAATATGAGTTATCCATGTGTTAAGTTTGAAGATAAAATAAGATTGTTTGTATAAGATGTGCACCGGAAACGAAATTACGTACCTAAAGTACATATTTCTGGCAATGTTTAAATGACAACTAATCAAAAAAGTGAAAATGTCAAAATAAATACTAATGCACACTGATCGACTAAGGTCGAAGTTTGAAGACAAATTCTGTCATTGTTTATAAGACATGCTCCGGATGCACAAAAATGCTGCAAAACGTCATATTTAGCCACCGTTTCCATGACAACTCTAACAAAATTAATTGCAGTTAAAAAAGGTGAAATACCTTGGACGGCTGATTTAATCAGATGCTCCCAGAAAAACAATAGTATGCTCCCAAAATAGACAATATTAGGGCATTGTTTTCCTGACAATTCATAATTTCTTGGAATCAGAAACATGAAACTACCAAAAGACATTTTTCTGCAGTATGAAAACAATCTGTAATGATTTCTGAGATATTCTCCGGAAACAATTGTGCAAGGACGGAACATTTTTGTATATAAACTTTGCTGGAAATAATGATTGGGTTTGAGAACCAAGGATTCTGTAACAATGTGTCGACCTGTGGTAGACCAGGCCAAACTTCATCAGAGGATGCAAAATTCAGCATGATAATGCATTTAAGAGTATTTCGACTTTTCCAGAACCACTCGGGGAAAGATAAGAATTTGAAAAGCTGTTGTATGCTTTTGTAAAATACTCTCTTAATTTTAAAAAGAAAAACGTTTTCGATCAAAATCAGTTAAATCTATTTATTAAGCCTTGCACACATAAATACACAACTTTCCTATTGCTAGGTGCCTCAATAAATGGTGCAATGCGCATGTGTCAGGTAGAACCAATTTCAATATGAAGAGAGATGTAACCGTCTGCCAATTTCATGAGATTATGAACAAGAGGCCCATGGGCCTTAACGGTCACCCGAGTCTACAGTATTTATTTTTGTTGTTGAAATATGTACCAATTTGAGTAAAAAATAGTATAATGTTAACTTAACTTTGTCAGGACCATGAGCTGATCATTCCTAGACCAATTTTAAGTGAGATCGGCCTATTAGAACTTAGTAGCAAAATAGCGGCCATGGCAGCCAAATTGTATTTCTGATTGACCCGAAAAATAACAACACTTTGTCAGGACCATGATTCGATCATTCCTACAAAGTTTCAGTTCAATCGGCCAAGTAGATCTTTACTTTAAGTTTGAAATAGTTTACCAAAATGGCAGCCGTGGTGGCCATATTGGATTTCTGATCGACCCGAAAAATAACAACACTTTGTCAGGACCATGAGTCAATCATTCCTACAAAGTTTCAGTTCAATCGGCCTAGCAGAACTTGACTTTAAGTTTGAAATATGTTTTCAAAATGGTGGCCGTGGCGGCCATATTGGATTTATGATTGACCTGAAAAATAACAACACTTTGTCAGGACCATGAGTCGATCATTCCTACAAACTTTAAGTTCAATCGGTCCAGCAGAACTTGACTTTAAGTTTGAAATAGGTTTTCAAAATGGCGGCCGTGGCGGCCATATTGGATTTCTGATCGACCCGAAAAATAACAACACTTTGTCAGGACCATGAGGCGATCATTCCTACCAACTTTCAGTTCAATCGGCCCAGCAGAACTTGACTTTAAGTTTGAAATGTAAAATGTTAACGGACGACGGACGACGACGGACGAAAACGGATAGCAATAGGTCACTTGAGCTATAGCTCAGGTGACCTAAAAACATAATTATTGGCAAACTTTGCAAAAATCAACTGCTAAGACTCATCGAGTTTGCATATTCGTTCTTTAACCCAAATGTATAATAAGTTAATGACTCAAATATTTTGACGAAAACCATTTTATTTGTTCAAGCATAAAATGATCTCAACAAACAAATTCCACAAATGCTGACATCTCATTAAAACTGTTAACGTCTTGTTCTGTTCCATAAAAAAACGTTTAGTTGTTGATCAATTGTTTCAAAAAGTCATATTTTCTCTTAATACAAATTCAAACTGAAGGCTCTTAATTGAAAAACTGCAAAGAACTTTGTAAATTGCTTACAGCTGTTGTGACAAATGGAAGAAAAGCTTTAAATATAAATAAGTGTTAGTTTTGTGTATCTGGGCTATGTTGCACTTGGCAACTGATCTTCCCACTCCTCTATTTTTTCTTGCTCCTCATTGGTTGATTCTGACTCGACCGGTTCCTTTGATTGGCTGGGAAGATCCGTTTGTTCCTCCGACGACCCCGATTCCTCCGTGTCATCTGTTTGACTGGCTGATGAGGGTTCTTCCTTATCACAGTTGGGTGAGTTTGCTGGTGAGTCTGGACGGCCCCCTTCACTACTCTCCTGGGGTTGGGATGCCTGCTGTAAGGAGGCGGAATGGAGCTGAGTCTGTATCTGTTTCTCTACCCCCTGACTCGCTGCCAAAGTTTCTTCAAATTTAGAAGGATCTACAAATAAACAGTAAATGATCAAGTTATTTCATATCTAATGTAGATTAACCTAAAGCAATCATTCTTTAACATTTTGACAATATTTTTACTACAATATATTATACATTGTAACACGAGTCCAGAGTGACTAGATGCCTTTGGGTTTCCTTTAGGTATATTTTAAGTTTTAACAGTTTAATAAAAAAAAATGTCACACATCAGGTTACTAAAGCTCAAAATTTTTGAAACATAATTACCGGCTAACCCTGATAAAATGTGAGAACAGCTTTCAAAAAATTCAAATGATAAGGGGCTTGTCATGTGGAATCTTCCTCTGTTGTACACATAAACCTTTTTTGACTAATTCTGTCCGTACCTAGTGAAGATGCTTCTAAAACTTTCCTTCCCAATCGTTCTGCTTGCATGGCACGACACAGCGATTCCAGTTTCTTTATCTTGCCCATAAGGAGAGGTTTTTCTCTGTCATATAGTGTTTTCTGTAAACAAATCATGATTTTATCAATATAGCTTGTTCTTGTTTTTGCTTAAAGTTGGAGGAAGGATTCTATTGCCAGGAGGCACTCGTTTGAAGTGTCGGCAAACTATTAGCAGTTTCATGTTTCTGTCCAGTCATTAAAATCTTTGGAAAAAAACAAATTTCTATCAATTCTAAAAATTAACAAACAAAAAATCCATTATTAAAAAATACCATTAAAGGATTCAATTGGATCTAGATAAATCAATAATTTATCAGTTATTTAAAGACAGGTAACTTGTCGGGTGAAAGGTCTGGAAACTTTATTAAATGTGAATGACATTAAAAGCATCTAGTACCTCCTCTGCCATTTCTATTAAAGCCTTGTTTGAGTTCTCCCACTTCTGTTTCCACTGAGCACCGTCTTTTTCCAGTTTCTTTATTCTCTTTGTCATCTAAGTGAAAAGAATGTAAATTAAAATACATTAGTGATGGGACGCAACTCCTACTTAAGATATTTTACTAAGGATATTTTATCTTTCTTAACCAATGCTTATAGAGTAATCTCCCCTGTCATTTTGCACCACTTACAAATAAAATTATTTATAAACTAGGAACTTGCAAAAATAAATCACATGAATCATCATATTTGAATGAAAACACCACAGACTAATGATAGCGATAGATATATCTATATCCTGTGAATGATAGCGATAGATATATCTATATCCTGTGAATGATAGCGATAGATATATCTATATCCTGTGAATGATAGCGATAGATATATCTATATCCTGTGAATGATAGCGATAGATATATCTATATCCTGTGAATGATAGCGATAGATATATCTATATCCTGTGAATGATAGCGATAGATATATCTATATCCTGTGAAGAGCAACAGCTTATGTATGATGGCAGGACTTACTTTATCCATTTCAGTTTTGAATTTCTGGAACATTTCATTACTCTTGTTGATGGTGGATTGGAACTCTTCGTAACGTTCCTTGTACATGGCAAGCTGTGGAGAAAGGAATGTTTACAGGGCAAGATATATAGTAGTACAGTGAACCCTCATAAACTGACAATATTGTACACAGGGTAATTATCATTTAGTGAAATTTATGACGTTATAATTGCAATTAATGAAAAGGATAAAATGTATATTTTTACACTTCCATTTACAGTAAAATGCTATTAATAGTTTAAAGAAACTCTTTATAGTACAATTTACTGCTTATTGTATAATATTTTAAATAGTACAACATTGTTTATATTTCAGTGATATCATTTATCTAGTTCTCTACTGTAATTACCTTTATTTTTAATACACTTCTATTTGGCATTGTAAATTCTAACCATAAATGTGTTAATCTAGATAATTTAGTTTATTGCACTGAAAATGTCTGATCCATTTTGATATTTAGAGCTGAAGAGGATAACACATGATGGTGTATATAGGTCCCTCACAGTAATAAGAACACACATCAACTGTGACCTACTTGTGCTTCCAATAAGGTGGCTTTCTTCTGTCCCTCTGTGGCCTGTAGAACCAACTGTAAACACAATAGCAGTTGTTTACCTTACAACAGAATGTAGTGCAGTTCATACTCATGCTTCAGTTATAAGAACACGTGAAATATTAAGTAATACTTCTGTTATATTGAGACCAACTCATTTTCATTCAGAACTGATGACATTTTGTAGACGATTAACATTAGAAGATCCTTAATGTGCCAATTCCTTTTCTCTCATTAACTTCAAAACTCATTTTGTAACAACTTTTGAAAAAAAAAAAAATGAGATACAAACAGTTTTTTTCTATATATTCCAATACAAACATGATCAGATCCATTCGTGGAGATATTGAACACAATAAAGATCATGAAATACTGTCCGATACCTCAGCTGTTAAGGCTATTAGGATCATATATATAAAAGTTACTTTACGAGACAAACAAGATGAGGTGAGGAAGCAATTAGGAGGCTACAGACCAGTTCTTTCTCTTTCTTGTTCCTCTCCTGTTCCTCTTTCAGAATGGCATTGGACTGGGCAAGCTTGGCGTCCGCTAACTTCTGTTCCAGTTCCCTGTGCTGCATCACCTTCTCCACTTGCTACAGTAGAAGGGACATCATTGTATTGTAATAATAGTTGAGACATCACTACAGTATATTAACAGGTTAAGGTGCATCACCTTCTCCACTTGCTACAGTAGAAGGGACATCATTGTATTGTAATAATAGTTGAGACATCACTACAGTATATTAACAGGTTAAGGTGCATCACCTTCTCCACTTGCTACAGTAGAAGGGACATCATTGTATTGTAATAATAGTTGAGACATCACTACAGTATATTAACAGGTTAAGGTGCATCACCTTCTCCACTTGCTACAGTAGAAGGGACATCATTGTATTGTAATAATAGTTGAGACATCACTACAGTATATTAACAGGTTAAGATGCTGATTCACAAATGCATATTTATAGAAAATTTTTACTAGTTTCATTTTTCTATTGATACTAGCCTTACAGCTTTCAGCAATGTTTATTTTTTATGTTGAATTTTGACGGAAATCTCTGTGTATGTTAAATACCAATAAACTGTTCAGAAAGTATCAATCACTCAGAGAGGACGAATGATTTACAACCCCCATTGATAGCAGACATGTGATACTGTACAGTATTTCAAAATGTATCACTGTAACACTAAATATAACATTGTCTGCATTCATGTTTATACCAACTTTATTCTATAGATACAATGCAACAAAATTTTCCCGTTCTCTATTATGATAATAAAGAAACTATCTTGTATGCAGATTGATGTGTATTACTTCAATCACAATCAAATGTCGGATGCAACTGGTTAATCAACAATCATTAGTTTCAACTTTTAACCATTTTGATTTTAATTAAACTTCACCTGTAATTCAGATTTTTCTCTTAAATTTTTCAAAGGTCTTGGTAAATGTGTACCTTTTCTCTCATCTCATACTGTTCTATAAACTTTTTAAGTTTGCCAGCCAGCTCCTGGTTCTCCTCACGTAACTTCTGGTTGCGTTCATGGTGGTCAGTCATCTGTTGCTGGATCTCGGTGATGGTCGTCTGTAGTAGAACATCCTCACATTATAATAATGATAAAAGTGACTGGGACGAGTGACCCTGTCAGTCGGTATTGTGTGTATGTATCCGACTGTGTACCTGACCAGACATTGTACTAACTACAGTAATAACACATCTCACGTTATACCAGCAGGTCCAGTAGTGGAGCCACTTCAATCAATGTCATATCGAACCTCTTTTATCCACTTTAAAGTTTTGAATTTATTAAGTTTATCTTGTTCACATTTTTTTATTTTGCTCATAATTTGCCTATAAAAACACTTATACTGAAAAACAAGGATTAAAACTAAGTTGCAAAGGGCCATAACTCATGTACGAAATTGTTGAAAATTCAGATTCTATGAAATGGGAATCTCAATATGATACCCGCGACACATAGAAAGTTTTGCACTCACAAGAAAGTGTTAGCTGACAGACAGACAACATGAAAGCATCATGCCTCCCACTTTTCGGGTGTATAATAAAACATTGTGAGGTAGTACCTGGAACTTATTGGAGATCTCTTTCCTTTTCTCATCTTCTTCTCGTGCTCGCTGTAAACTTTCTTGCTGTAAAAGTATATTAACATGACAAATATTAAGGATACAGTGTTACTTTTTCGTGCTTCATTGATTCATTGTGGTCAATGCTTTTGCTATGAATTCCAAACATTACTCACACAACTGAAATCATAACCTTGCCTAGGGTGTTCTCTGAACAAAAATTGGATGAGACTTACATGAATTATTTGAATAGAAATCGTGTGAAGTATTGGCATCCTGTACCATAGTCAGGGTCAATGTCACTACTATCTCCAATAAAAATATCTGTCTAGTGCTTGTTCCCAAATAAGTATTTGTAATGTACTAGTGCCTGAGTGAAGATATGACCTGTAGAATTTCACATTTGATTAAAAGCAATCATCTCTTACTTGAACCAACTAGCAGAAATACATCAAAATGAAATGACAAGTCACAGTGATGATGTTATTTTACAGTACAGTAACATATTCATACAATTGAATGTGTCATTTCCAGTTAAATTCCAACATGATATGGTACCAGGTATGCCATAGATTTGTATAAAGAAGATTTTACATACAATAAGATTGTACAATGTAATACAGTTTATACAATGTGACTGAGTTTGCACTAAATACAATTTATATAATGTTGTACTAACTACAATTTATACAATGTTGTTACTAAATACAATTTATACAATGTTGTTACTAAATACAATTTATATAATGTTGTACTAAATACAATTTATATAATGTTGTACTAAATACAATTTATACAATGTTGTTAGTAAATACAATTTATATAATGTTGTTAGTAAATACAATTTATATAATGTTGTACTAAATAAAATTTAAGGACAATCATAGATAGAAAATGTTCCTAGGACAATCATAGATAGAAAATGTTCCTAGGACAATCATAGATAAAAAATGTTCCTCGGACAATCATAGATAGAAAATGTTCCTAGGACAATCATAGATAGAAAATGTTCCCAGGACAATCATAGATAGAAAATGTTCCGAGGACAATCATAGATAGAAAATGTTCCTAGGACAATCATAGATAGAACATGTTCCTAGGACAATCATAGATAGAAAATGTTCTTAGGACAATCATAGATAGAAAATGTTCCTAGGACAATCATAGATAGAAAATGTTCCTAGGACAATCATAGAGATCTTTTCTCCTCCACTGTAAACATGGAAATGTACACACTAGGATAATGTATGTTTATATGTACTGTTCATGCTCAGCAAATATTTCCCCTAGAACATAAAAATGACTACTCAAGATGTTCATGTATTTGTCTCCGATAGTTTTACAACAATGTGAAACGAGCTTGAGCAGAATTCTACGATTATTATTAAGCATAATAATAACATTTGCAGAAGTTCCTTTGCACAAACTATAGATTACAAATTTTTCATGAGATTGACATGGTGATTGATTGACATGGTGATTGATTGACATGGTGATTGATTGACATACCCGAATGACCTGGTTGTGTTTCTGAAGCTCGCGACATAGACTCTCCAGCTTACTCTTAGCCATCACAGCCTTCGTATGTTCTGACTGCAGCTGGTCCTTCTCACGACTCACCTGAACATCAACAGAGATCATGTCATTTATAAATAATAACAAACACGGATTTTTAAGATTTATAGATGTATTATAAAATAAATCACTAAGTATTTACATTACAAAACTGTTCTACACATAATANATATATATTACAAAATTACCAGCATGAAGGAAGATAAATTCAAGATTCCCTACCAGGTGCAAGTCCTAATCCTATGAACAGGAAAAGGCGGTCCTGGTTAAGGGAAATGAGGTAAGTATTAAAGTTTAGAGCTGGTAGACAATGAACAAATGAAGAAATTGAAATTGAATGAGCAGGTTGTGGCCAGGCGAGGTCCTGAGTCCTCTTGGAGAACCAGGCGAAAGTCCTGTACCACAAAGACTGCTATCATACATAGTTTGGTTACATCGCCAGGCGAGTCCTGAGCCCTACTGAAGAACCAGGCGGAAAATGGTCCTGTACGATGTAAACTGTGTATGACATGTATATGAAATGAATGAAACCCCAATGACTTTGGGGCTAATGGACCGAATTGATTAATGCGCAGCATGAGAAAGCCCCCAATAAAAGGAAGCAATAAGAATTAGTTTATTTTGAAGTAATAAATATGATTCTGTAGGAACTGGACCATCCATTCACCTTCTGTTCACACAGGACAGTTACCCCTCATTTCCTTTAGAAACTCAGGATTAAAATAGGTTGCAGAGCATTTTACAATTTATAGCAGATTAATCAGAAATAAACTTAATTAAATTCAAACAATGTCATAGTCTAGATAAGGTTTAAATTTGTGAAACATCCTGTTAACATCTAAGGTTGTTTAAGGACCTGCCTCCATGGATGCCATAACAAAGAATTGGCAGAGGTTCTCATTTACCACTAAATGTGTGTGATTGTTATGTACAGTAACACACATGATTTCAGCCAGTGTAAATTAACAAGGAGATTCATTCACAAAATTAAACCTTCTACAAATCCTTATTTCTTGGATAAATAGGAAAGCCATCTGTCCAGGGAGGTTTAGTGGTATCCGATGTAATAAAGATGACGCCAACAATCAACTCATGGCATGCATAGCCCAATGAATGCCATCTAAATGTGAAAGGGTTATATAGTGGCAGTGCCACACAATGGAAATATGTTGATGTGCTTACTTACCACAGACAGTTTACTGACACAGTGAGTTTGTTGATGTGCTTACTTACCACGAACAGTTTACTGACACAGAGAGTTTGTTGATGTGCTTACTTACCACAGACAGTTTACTGACACAGAGAGTTTGCTGATGTGATTACCTACCACGGACAGTTTACTGACACAGAGAGTTTGTTGATGTGCTTACTTACCACAGACAGTTTACTGACACAGAGAGTTTGCTGATGTGATTACCTTCCACGGACAGTTTACTGACACAGAGAGTTTGTTGATGGGCTTACCTACCACGGACAGTTTACTGACACAGAGAGTTTGTTGATGTACTTACCTACCACGAACAGTTTACTTACACAGTGAGTTTATTGATGTGCTTACCTACCATGGACAGTTTACTTACACAGTGAGTTTGTTGATGTGCTTACTTACCACTGACAGTTTACTTACACAGTGAGTTTATTGGTGTGCTTACTTACTAGGACAGTTTACTTACACAGTGAGTTTATCGATGTGCTTACTTACCACAGACAGTTTACTGACAGAGTTTGATGATGTGCTTACTTACCACGGACAGTTTACTGACACAGAGAGTTTATTGGTGTGCTTACCTACCACGGACAGTTTACTGACACAGAGAGTTTGTTGATGTGCTTACTTACCACGGACAGTTTACTGACACAGAGAGTTTATTGGTGTGCTTCCCGACCACGGACAGTTTACTGACACAGAGAGTTTGTTGATGTGCTTACCTACCACAAACAGTTTACTTACACAGTGAGTTTGTTGATGTGCTTACCTACCACGGACAGTTTACTTACACAGTGAGTTTATTGGTGTGCTTACTTACCACGGACAGTTTACTGACACAGTGAGTTTATCGATGTGCTTACTTACCACAGACAGTTTACTGACAGAGTTTGATGATGTGCTTACTTACCACGGACAGTTTATTGACACAGAGAGTTTGTTGATGTGCTTACTTACCACAGACAGTTTACTGACAGAGAGTTTGTTGATGTGCTTACTTACCACAGACAGTTTGATGACACAGAGAGTTTGTTGATGTGCTTACTTACCACAGACAGTTTGATGACACAGAGAGTTTGTTGATGTGCTTACTTACCACGGACAGTTTACTGACATAGAGAGTTTATTGATGTGCTCACTTACCACGGACAGTTTACTGACACAGAGAGTTTGTTGATGTGCTTACTTACCACAGACAGTTTGATGACACAGAGAGTTTGTTGATGTGCTTACTTACCACAGACAGTTTGATGACACAGAGAGTCCCCCGATGTGCTTACTTACCACAGACAGTTTACTGACACAGAGAGTTTGTTGATGTTCTTACTTACAACGGCCAGTTTACTGACACAGAGAGTTTGTTGATGTGCTTACCTACCACAAACAGTTTACTTACACAGTGAGTTTGTTGATGTGCTTACTTACCACGGCCAGCTTACTGACACAGAGAGTTTGTTGATGTGCTTACTTTCCACGGCCAGTTTACTGACACAGAGAGTTTGTTGATGTTCTTACTTACAACGGCCAGTTTACTGACACAGAGAGTTTGTTGATGTGCTTACCTACCACAAACAGTTTACTTACACAGTGAGTTTGTTGATGTGCTTACTTACCACGGCCAGCTTACTGACACAGAGAGTTTGTTGATGTGCTTACTTACCACCGACAGTTTACTGACACAGAGAGTTTGTTGATGTGCTTACCTAACACGGACAGTTTACTGACACAGAGAGTTTGTTGATGCGCTTACTTACCACGGCCAGTTTACTGACACAGAGTTTGTTGATGTGCTTCCTTACCACGGCCAGTTTACTCACACAGAGTTTGTTGATGTGCTTACTTACCACGGACTGTTTACTGACACAGAGAGTTTGTTGAGGTGCTTACTTACCACGGCCAGTTTACTGACACACAGAGTTTGTTGATGTGCTTACTTACCACGGACAGTTTACTGACACAGAGTTTGTTGATGTGCTTCCTTACCACGGCCAGTTTACTCACACAGAGTTTGTTGATGTGCTTACTTACCACGGCCAGCTTACTGACACAGAGAGTTTGTTGATGTGCTTACCTACCACAAACAGTTTACTTACACAGTGAGTTTGTTGATGTGCTTACTTACCACGGCCAGCTTACTGACACAGAGAGTTTGTTGATGTGCTTACTTTCCACGGCCAGTTTACTGACACAGAGAGTTTGTTGAGGGGCTTACTTACCACGGCCAGTTTACTGACACAGAGAGTTTGTTGATGTGCTTACCTAACACGGACAGTTTACTGACACAGAGAGTTTGTTGATGTGCTTACTTACCACGGACAGTTTACTGACACAGAGAGTTTGTTGATGTTCTTACTTACCACGGCCAGTTTACTGACACAGAGAGTTTGTTGAGGTGCTTACTTACCACGGACAGTTTACGGGTGTTCTGTTTATTGCTAGTCTGAAGGACACGGTGTTCCTCGTGCAGGTCAGCATACTTCTTACACAAAGCTGCCAGTTTTTCCTCAGTGGTGTGAAGGCTGCTCAGGGCTCGCAGGATGTGATCTGCACATCAAATGACAGGCAATTTTATATACAGTAGATTCGGTCTTATTGATAAATAGATACAAGCATGCTACTGGCCAAATTTCATTATATTTTGGTTAATTAGAAGAAGTTTATTAAGGATTTCAACATATTTGACCCATGTGACTTGAATATGGGTGAAGTTCATTCATTTGAAGTTACTCGGTTACCCTTCATCCCATTATACTACTTACTTAAACATCATCACCCTTGCCATTTTTGTTATTAAGCAGAAGTCGATTAATGTTTTTAACATATCTGACCCCAGTGACCTTGAATATGAGCTAACCTCATTCATGAGAACAAACTTTATAGCACTTCATTCCAACATGTTACTGGCCAAATATCATCATTCTAACCTCTTCGTCATTTAGAAGTTGTTTAAAGTAACAAACTGTCGGACGGCAGATGATGCACCTTCGGTCAAGGTGAGCTAAAAGACTAACTATTCACTTACATCGTGTTTGCTTTCCCTATATCATCAACCTTGGTCTTTTGGTTATTCAACTGACCTTTGTGACCTTGAATATTGGCAAAGGTCATTCATTTGAACAAACATGGAAGCCCCTCTTTCCTGCATGCTAAAGGCAACATATCGTTACCCTTGGTCTTTTTGATTATTCAGATGAAGTTGTTGAAAGTTTTTTTTAAGTCAATTGACACATGTGACCTTGAATATGAGCGAAGGTCATTGATTTGAACAAACTTGGTAAGCCTTTATCCAAGCAAAATACTGGTCAAATTAACATCACCCTTACCATTTTGGTGATTCAGAAGAAGCAGATTAAAGTTTTAAACATAGTTGACCCCTGTGACCCTAAATATGGGTGAAGGTAATTAATTTCTAGCCCTTTATCCCAGCATGCTTCTTGCCAAATATCATCACTCTAGGCCTCTTAGTTATTCAAAAGAAGCTGTTTAAAATAATGGATGGATGTCAGACCTTCAGGCCAGATGGGCTAAAAAACCCGTTACACTAACTTGCTTTCCCTATGGAAATGTAAAGCAATACATGTAACTAATGTAGGGAACATTTGACAGAAAACTATGACTGAATGTAAGAAATATTTTCATATTTGTAAAAAAATATTTTTTTTTATCAATAGCACAATTTGTTTTCTTCATATTTGTTTTGTTTAGTTTATGCATACCAATGGTTTTGTCTTCCTTTTTCTTGCTCTTTTTTTCCTCTTTTGTTTTTTCCTTTTTAGCCTTTGGATCGTCTCCCTTGTTGTCCCCATCCCTTGGTTTTTCGTCAACAGGTTCCAAGTCAACGCCATTCAAACTTTCTGCAAGGGCTGCCTCCAGGGCATCAGCAGCTTCCAGACTTGCATGCTGTGAGCCGTTAGTGTTCTGGAAATCCACTTCATCTGTACTTACCTGCCTTTCAACATCATCAAGCGGGGCCTGTAATTGTTCTACAAGAGAGGATATGGAAGAGGGGTCAAAGTTGGAGGGGTCAAAGTTGAGAGCATCCTCAAGGTCTTGACCTTCACTCATGAGAGATACTTCATCGAGGTCAGAAGGAAGTTGTACTCCCGAAGTTACCTTTTCTGAAGAAAGAAAAAGGATTTTGTGACAGAGCTTGATATATCTTAATTCAAATCTTATCACCACTACTCATGCTGCATGCACAGACTAAAGAAATCTGTATTTTTGAGTTCATACCTGTTAAATCTAATACAATGTTTGTATGTAACACAATTTTCATACAGTTGCAACTTTTTCTTTTTAAATGTTGACAAAGTGCAACTTTACAATTTAAAGTTTGAAACAGAAAAACTTGTTATTCTTTATTGTTTTGTTCAAACTTTATGCAAATTTTTATAATGGATAGTATGCAAACCACTTTAAGCAAAATAAAATTATCAGGGTTTGCATTGCTCACACCTCCATATCACTTTACAGAGAAAAAAATAAAGATCCAAATATAACTTTCATTTGATCTCTTTCAAACTGATCATAATTATGAAAGACCCCTATTAAACTGAAAATTCACCTATCTATCGAATACCCAGAAATTATATTTGTACTCTCTGTAAAGAATGATTATAGAACACAAACACGAGGAGAGATGTATCTTAAATCTATCATTGAATTCCCTCAACCAACTATGCATGCAGACAGAGCTCTTGGTTACTGTGAAGCTATCAGGCACTGGCCTTACACAAACGTGTGTGAATCTCCACGGCCAAAGGAACCAGGCTGCTGGCTAAAGCTCTGGCTATCAGGCACTGGCCTTACACAAACGTGCTTGTAACTCCACCGCCATGGTAACCAGGCTGCTGGCTAAGGCTTGGGAAAAGCTCTGGCTATCAGGCACTGGCCTTACACAAACGTGCTTGTAACTCCACCGCCAAGGTAACCAGGCTGCTGGCTAAAGCTTGGGAAAAGCTCTGGCTATCAGGCACTCGCCTTACACAAACGTGCGTGTATCTCCATGGCCAAAGTAACCAGGCTGCCGGCTAAAGCTTGGGAAAAGCTCTGGCTATCAGGCACTGGCCTTACACAAACGTGTGTGAATCTCCACGGGCAAAGTAACCAGGCTGCTGGCTAAGGCTTGGGAAAGGCTCTGGCTATCAGGCACTGGCCTTACACAAACGTGCGTGAATCTCCACGGCCAAAGGAACCAGGCTGCTGGCTAAAGCTCTGGCTATCAGGCACTGGCCTTACACAAACGTGCGTGAATCTCCATGACCAGAGTAACCAGGCTGCTGGCTAAAGCTTGGGAAAAGCACTGGCTATCAGGCACTGGCCTTACACAAACGTGCTTGTAACTCCACGGCCAGAGTAACCAGGCTGCTGGCTAAAGCTTGGGAAAAGCACTGGCTATCAGGCACTGGCCTTACCCAAACGTGCGTGAATCTCCACGGCCAAAGGAACCAGGCTGCTGGCTACAGCTTGGGAAAAGCTCTGGCTATCAGGCACTGGGCTTACACAAACGTGCGTGAATCTCCATGACCAGAGTAACCAGGCTGCTGGCTAAGGCTTGGGAAAAGCTCGGGCTATCAGGCACTGGCCTTACACAAACGTGCGTGAATCTCCATGACCAAAGTAACCAGGCTGCTAGCTAAAGCTTGGGAAAAGCTCTGGATGTCAATAGGTATGTTTGCTGCTAATGGTCATGTGATCAGAAGTCATTGACATGGAACAGGCTAGGTCAAAACCAGTCAATCTTATCAATCTTATAGTCAAAGTAATCTGTATTTTTTCAGAATTATGTAAACTTACTTTGCAAATTTGCTTCAAGTTTCATTTTAGGCCGTAATGATATATATACATGATCATGACCACACTGAACAATGTCCAGATGTTTGACAAAACTTAAAAGTTTTAGAATAGTTCATTGAAACTGGCCATAGATTGCATCAGAAAAAAAGAAGTTGAAGCTGTTTTTATGCCAAGCATATCATAATTAATCATGATTATAATCATGATTAAATACCCATGTATTCACAAACGCAGCTATCAACTAGTCAAGGCAATTACTAGTAACGTCTTCAAATCATACATACCCAGTACATGTTACTGACACAGCGCAATCATAAATACATGTTACTGATGCAGTAAGATCATACAGACAACTTGAGAAGCACAGTCTTCAAGTCGTCTATGTCAACATTTTGATTTTGTATATTATCTTTAATGCAACATCACAATGTCATGATGTTACGTCAACTACCTGAATTCTACTATACTTGGTATTATTGATATGACATTATAAGGTGTAACAGCTGGCAAATGACCCAGGTGTACATGTATTCACTACAAAACCGGCCGGGTGGTCATGTGATCAGTTATACAAGCTAGTAAACATTTCATGCCACTAAACATTGCCCAATCTTACCAACAGCTTCCATCTTGGAGGGAACAGTCTGTTGTTCTGGTGCTATACCAGAGGATTCCTCTGTGTTGTTCGTTTCTCTGGAGATTGTTGTCTCCTCTACAGCCTCCTCTTGAGGGACAGTTTCTGTATACTCTGTTTCCGAGGTGACAGAATACTGGACCTCTGGTTCAGTTACTGTTGGGATGACCTCTCTGTGACTTTCACAGATAGTTGGCAAGGTCTCAATACAGCCAAAAGTGGACACTGTTTGTATGACTTCCTGTGTGTCTTCCTCAACTTCCTCTGGGACGTTTAGTAATTCCCCAAACTCGGTTAGTTCTTCACTGGAAATTTCCGAAACTGTATCAATGCTATGATTTTGTTCTTTGTGAACAAAACACTTTGGTGAGTCAACTGAACTTCCCTCTGCCTGTGTATGTGAACCAGTTGGCTGATATGTCTGAACTTGTTCAGAGTCGGCTGCTGTCTGTGTGCCTCCTGCTTCTTCCCCCGTTTCAATGGTCTACAATTATAGAGAGTAATTGTCATTACATACTTTCAACTGCTGTTATTCTGACAGAGAGGATTGTTTGATATGAGACGAATATAGTTGGCCATAAGCTTGGCACTTTGAGAAACATGGACAGAAAGAACATTCATGTACATGGTGAACATATTAATGTATGCGTACACTTGAGCTTTTCAAGTAACCATTTTATTTGCTGGAAAATAACCTCAAACTATGTGAATATATAACATGTACACAACCCTGACTCCATTACTCCACTGTTGTTGAATATGCCCATGCAAGTACACACATGTACCTGGCTGTTATTGTACTTTGTAAAGTTGTTAAACAATAATAAGGTCTCAGAAACAGTCTTGAAGAGCAAGATATTGTAATATTTGTTTTCAAAATGACAATCATTACAAATAATCAGAACAATTGTATCTTATTATTATAAACATTTGTGTAATGCACATATACATATCTCAGTTAAAAACTTTGCTTTACAAAAAACGTGTTACTGCATAAACAATGGCAAACTTTCAAGACAATAAATATCTCTGAAGTAATCAATGTCACTTATGAAAGCAATTATTTTGATGTGGCGGCCATTAATTTCAAATTTCAATGTCGCAGAGAAATGATCAGAGGGCTAGTTTGATATAAAACACAAGGTTTTCTCTGCAACTTGTTTATGCCAGTTTACCACCTACGAAAATCCTTGGCACAGCACCAAAATGTAGGCCTTCGCTTTATCATCAGCTCCAGTATCATTAATCAGCTGATTGAAATGAACAACATGTCTGTCAGATTCTAGCTGGTAGAAATAAACTTGTTTTCAACTTCATACCTCCTGTTTCTCACCGATTTATTCAAAATTGAAATTTCAGTTATGTCAAAACTATATTGTATCCCTAAAGCCTCTAACATTCACCTCTGAAGACACATTTGAACACTTCCAATTTAAAGGTTGGGTTAGTTCATTATGAAATTTCAGGGGTGAATGAGTTAATTAAACCTAAGCAAAATAAACAGCAGTTTGAAACCACAGGGGATTTTTCTACTGTACTACCTTAATTATCAAGTGAATAATGTGAAAATGTACATTGAACAGTTAAAAACATACCATGGTACTTAAACACATGTACAGTCAGCTGTATGCAAACATATATAACAACCGTGCTGTTATATCTTATGTCTGATCACGTGCACAGGGATCATATATAACAACCGTGCTGTTATATCTCATGTCTGATCACAGGGATCATATATAACAAACGTGCTGTTATATCTCATGTCTGATCACAGGGATCATATATAACAACCGTGCTGTTATATCTCATGTCTGATCACATGGATCATATATAACAACCGTGCTGTTATATCTCATGTCTGATCACAGGGATCATATATAACAAACGTGCTGTTATATCTCATGTCTGATCACAGGGATCATATATAACAACCGTGCTGTTATATCTCATGTCTGATCACATGGATCATATATAACAACCGTGCTGTTATATCTCATGTCTGATCACAGGGATCATATATAACAAACGTGCTGTTATATCTCATGTCTGATCACAGGGATCATATATAACAACCGTGCTGTTATATCTCATGTCTGATCACATGGATCATATATAACAACCGTGCTGTTATATCTCATGTCTGATCACAGGGATCATATGTAACAAACGTGCTGTTATATCTCATGTCTGATCACAGGGATCATATATAACAACCGTGCTGGTATATCTCATGTCTGATCACAGGGATCATATATAACAACCGTGCTGTTATATCTCATGTCTGATCACAGGGATCATATATAACAACCGTGCTGGTATATCTCATGTCTGATCACAGGGATCATATATAACAACCGTGCTGGTATATCTCATGTCTGATCACAGGGATCATATATAACAACCGTGCTGGTATATCTCATGTCTGATCACAGGGATCATATATAACAACCGTGCTGGTATATCTCATGTCTGATCACAGGGATCATATATAACAACCGTGCTGGTATATCTCATGTCTGATCACAGGGATCATATATAACAACCGTGCTGGTATATCTCATGTCTGATCACAGGGATCATATATAACAACCGTGCTGGTATATCTCATGTCTGATCACAGGGATCATATATAACAACCGTGCTGGTATATCTCATGTCTGATCACAGGGATCATATATAACAACCGTGCTGGTATATCTCATGTCTGATCACAGGGATCATATATAACAACCGTGCTGGTATATCTCATGTCTGATCACAGGGATCATATATAACAACCGTGCTGGTATATCTCATGTCTGATCACAGGGATCATATATAACAACCGTGCTGGTATATCTCATGTCTGATCACAGGGATCATATATAACAACCGTGCTGGTATATCTCATGTCTGATCACAGGGATCATATATAACAACCGTGCTGGTATATCTCATGTCTGATCACAGGGATCATATATAACAACCGTGCTGGTATATCTCATGTCTGATCACAGGGATCATATATAACAACCGTGCTGGTATATCTCATGTCTGATCACAGGAATCATATTTGTGTACTTGGATATATATATATATATAGATACATTTACAAAAGGTCATGCATACTACTTAAACATTCTAAAAGAAATATTATTCCTGTTCTTGTACATGTATTGCCTATCATCCTTGATGTGTAAACATACATACATGTATATGTATGTAAACCAAGTGCCTGTATTCAATGATATGGATTTCCAATGGGGGAAAAAAGGGATCCATCACAAAATTTTACAATATTGATGCTGAAAACAGACATCAAAATAATTATATAACAGTTCCAAATATCATAGACCATATATCTATTACTTCAAATCAATGTTATTGTATCAAAACTACAAATGGATAAGACACAGGCATCACCTACTAAAGCCCTTTCCAGACGGAAGAATTGAAGCATTGACCATGCATGTACACTGTATGTACTGTATGTATTTTGCTGTCATTTCAACTTTTTACAACATCTTAACCATATTGGCAATTTAATCAATTTGACCCCTAAGCCTATTAAAATCTAATTTAAAGATCAAACATGTAAATAAAAAAAAATGATATGTCAGTGTTAGTAAAAAAATCAATGTTTGCTATGAAAAGATAGTTCAGATAGAAGAATAGTGAAAATCTGCCTGCAGGCTATTACTCGGAAAAATGAAATTGAATACCTGTTTACAAGACATAGTTCAGTTATACTGATTGTACACGTATCCTGTAACTCTGTATCATAGAGATAAGGAAAACCCTGGTACTAATTATACATTTGGTTAGCCACTAGAGGTGGCAGAAACACTGCATTATAAAAACTGACAGCTTATATACCCTAGGGCCAACCAACTTGTATCATATATACTGGTACAACTCGGAATGTGTGCACCAAACATTACAGCGGACAAACCTTGACGTGGGCCAGGTCCTGCTGTTTCACTTGGTCCTTTCTGCAGCTTCTTACACAATCAATAAAACAATGAAATATTGTCCTCAATCTAGAATTTAGGGCCATCGAGCCTATGTCACACACATCACTTCAGTGATCCCTCCCCCATATCCCTCTAAACATACTACATCTAGGAGCATACACAGATTCTACAAAGAGGGTCCCCACAGGATCTGCATGACAAGTGCTCAAAATATACAATATGTAGTACACTTTTTTATTCTATAAAAAGATTTAGCTTGTCTTTTGAAAAAGATATCAGTGTTAAACAATTTGATTATTGAGTAAATGAACATCGTATTATTTCAAACAAGAATTAAAGTATAAAACACTGAGTGTTTTAGTTCGCATTGACATGAGGCCCCAGAGGGGTATGCATGCCAACATTTTTGCAGGAGATTGAGGACGAAGTGTATTGTTATCTGCACTTTCATCACTGTCAGTGGGGTGCTGATAGAACCCGCCTCCATAGTTGTCTACTTACAGGGCTATCCAGAGCTTACTAACCAGAAACCCCAGTGGTAAACTGACAAACACCACCAATAACATCACATATTGTTAGATAGCTATAACATTGTAACAGGAGAGGGAAAATGCACGGCCAGACCGGACCCTCTGAACTCTTAGACGACCAGACCGGACCCTCTGAACTCTAGACGGCCAGACCGGACCCTCTGAACTCTAGACGGACACACTACCCAGTTCAGTTATGCTACAATATCAAAACATTTTGTACAGAATTATATTTTATAAAGTAGTATTCTTATAACAATAACATTGATATTTCATTATCATTATTATCACAACATGACTGGTATTTTTTCATGTACAGTGTTATAGTAATTACATGTCAACAATGACCTTAGCTGTTAATAGGACGTTAAACAAAATAAAACCAAACCAAACATGTCCAAAAATTTTACCCGTGAAATAACATTTACCAACTTATTCACTTTCTTTATATACACCATCCTTAAATGACAATGACTGTTGGCGTTTAACAATACTAAACCAAACCAATCTTGAATTTATATACAGTATATTTATCATCTACAAGTCTTGGGGAAAAAATTATAAACAGTTAATTCAGATGCCATGTCATGATACATTATGTTCATGATGAATTAGCAGTAAGAATGACACTGGTAGTTTGAGGAGAACCAGATTACTAGCTACTCTGTAATACCAGACGCTCATTGTACATGTTTACCTCACTGATGATGTAATTACACACAGGATTGTTTAACACCAATAGACCCCTGGGTACGGCTGATCTATACCGAATGATTGTTCCAGACTGTTTACTGCACCACATACACTGTAGCCTGTAATGTATATCACATGATGGCTGATGCCAGGTGTACAACGCCAACAGGGACCATTCTTTTGCTTTATGTATGCATGGGAATGTATCCATAGAAAATTATGTGGTGGTCTGACAAAAGTGTAGGATACATACATTTTCCACGATTTGTTGATTTTCCCTCAAAATATTTGAATTGTATCAAAATTGTCTCATTTTGGATTGGATGGATACAGGATACCGTGAAGTAAAATTATATTATCACCATTGTCAATATTGTGAAATATTTGTTTATGTCCTTTTCAAAAGAAGTATTCCATAAAAATTACATGACAGGAAAAGATACTCTAAGCGAGTCTCCAGAAAAAAAACTCTGGTTGCTTTATCTTCGATATAGAATGAGGAGAACTCATAGTAAAAATAATAATCCTCCGAGTGGAACTCTCCTTTGTGATTAGAGCTGATGCACTGGTTCCCTTAACCTTAATTTTGAGCAATTCTTGTAGTTAATTATAGAAGTAACTGGTATCTATATGTGTAAATCTTTCTATCAAACATCATGTAAACGTAGGAAACACAACCACCAGCATAATATATAACACATCAATCCGTAATGGCTGACTAAAAGGTAGGTTAGAACCACCGGCATAATATATAACACATCAATCTGTAATGGCTGACTAAAAGGTAGGTTAGAACCACCGGCACATATCACATTTAAACTCATATTGCTGACTGTTATGACGGATAAAGGTAGGTTAGTACAACTTACTTATATTGTGTCTCAATCCAAATATCAGCATTAATATCTGACCTAATGCATGTTAGAACCATCAGCATGTTATATTGTTTATGTAACAAACGATACAGCCTTCCATTTTTTAGTTGAGAACCAGTAGTAAACTTTTAGAAATGTTTACAGACTTTCCAGGGATCCAAATAGATTGTAGCTTACAGTCTAGGCCTAGAAATCCAAACAACTAAAGAAAAGAATTGCAGCTCACCTGAAGGAATACTAGATACCCCTCCATTAAATTTATGATATTTGCGTGTGACATGTTGTGGTGATTATCTTGTTTATGTGACAACATGATGCCAGCTGACAAGTATCCTATAAGTTGTTCACTAATATAGAATGTTGCTCATTGAAATGTTTCTATTTTTATAAAAATATTCTTTTCTTTTAACCATTCTCAAATTTATAGAGCATTTTAAATAAAATAAACGAATTAGAAATTTCATTAAAATTGATTAATTTTTCCAGTATCAACCATTAGGTACTTATATATGGTCTCATAACGATAAAGACTATGCTAACTCAATACAAACTGTGTCTTAATATATATCTATGTGTTTTAAATTTATCCTCACAGACACAATAACTCTATAGATACATTATCTACATAATACCAAACATTATAACATCACTTCTAATCATTAGGCACAAAACTCTGCACAAACAAATATAAAAATAACGCCACCACAATATGACTGGATATAAATATGCAAAGCTGTACACCTACTTCTCCACAACTGTTCCAGATCACAGTGGCAGCATTTCCCATTTTTGTCCATGCCAGTCATTGCTTTCGACAGCACCTAGGCAACCATGTGTATACCTTAGGACACGTGTATCTCGTGTATCTCGCCAGTAGTCTCAGGCACTGGGCTCCAACTCTACATAGTATTACAAGACCCTGGCACACGTATACGATGCTAATCAATCTACGCAGTACGTATACAGTAAACACAGAAAAACTGACACAAAGTCACAGTGGATTAGTACTAATTTAACTTTGTCTCTCCGACAGTCAGTACGAGGGTTACAGCTTCTGTTGATCTGGAATGCATGGAACTTAGCTCTCCTTGATGAAAGTTAGTCATGTCTATATCCTCCTCTTGAAATTGTGAATTCTTATGTACACCAGTTTTCCTATAGTTATTATATACAGAGTTAATAATAGCTACAGCAGCTATAGAGTAAGAGGTATTTTAACACTCAACAAGTAGGAAACTTCATGAAGATATATCCAAATATTGATGATTTTCACTTATGCAGATAAAGACTTCAATGTTTTTTTTATCCAGAGAAAGTTATTTCTACTCGTCTGTTAAGTCAGGACCAGCTGTAATTAAAACTCAGTTATAGCTACCGAATGTTTAGAGACTTCAATGGCAGCAATATGATAATGCTTTAAGTCGGTACATATGTACTAAGTATCTATCAGCTTCATGTCTACCAACAGTTCATCCTTCATCATTGAGCTAGGGAACACACTTTAACACCAACTATCACATGTGTGATTTATTTACTTCCATGTAGAGGATAGGTACTTACCCAAAGTCATGTTATTAAATAAAGAGGGGCCCACTGGATGGAGAAGCGACAGGGGTATGCCCCAATATCACAGGGGTAGGGGATAGTCAGTAAGTATTGTGCCATGCTAATTACTGCGTAAACAGATGACTTCATTGGAAGACATTTGTTTATGATGAGGAGGGGTCTGACTGGCTCTTCCAATTCATTTACCATGTACATAATACTAAAAGTATAGTCAGCTTAACATAAACACAGACCTGTTTGTTCTCACATTAAGAAAAGATAAATTCAATATGGCACCATAAAAAATGAGTTTCAAGCAAAATGAAACAATTAATTTGACAGCCATTTTATGAAACTGTTGTGAGGTAAATTCAGGTGTTTTCAAGTACCGGTAGGTCATACTTGGACAATTCATTATTACCAAGTGTTAGGGTTTATTTAGTATATGAGTTGGGGTGTCTAGTATTTCTATTTTCAGGATATATCATACATGTTACTATAGCTTAAAATAGGTTTTAATCTGTTTATACTTATGAAAACAATGTATGGTGACTGTACTGAACATGGAGAGGTACAACTATGGTATGATGTGACTGTACTGAACATGGAGAGGTACAACTATGGTATGACGTGACAGTACTGAACATGGAGAGGTACAACTATGGTATGGTGTGACTGTACTGAACACGGAGAGGTACAACTATGGTATGACGTGACAGTACTGAACATGGAGAGGTACAACTATGGTATGACGTGAGTGTACTGAACATGGGGAGGTACAACTATTGTATGACGTGACTGTACTGAACATGGAGGTACAACTATGGTATGACGTGAGTGTACTGAACATGGAGAGGTACAACTATGGTATGACGTGACTGTACAGAACATGGAGAGGTACAACTATGGTATGACATGAGTGTACAGAACATGGAGAGGTACAACTATGGTATGACATGACTGTACTGAACATGGAGAGGGACAACTATGGTATGGCACTGTACTGAACATGGAGAGGTACAACTATGGGATGACTTGACTGTACTGAACATGGAGACTGTACTGAACATGGAGAGGAACAACTATGGTGTGGCGTGACTGTACTGAACGTGGAAAGGTACAACTATGGTATGACGTGACTGTACAGAACATGGAGAGGTACAACTATGGTATGACATGAGTGTACAGAACATGGAGAGGTACAACTATGGTATGACGTGAGTATGGAGAGGTACAACTATGGTATGCCGTGAGTGCACTGAACATGGAGAAGTACAACTATGGTATGGCACTGTGCTGAACATGGAGAGGTACAACTATGGTATGGCACTGTACTGAACATGGAGAGGAACAACTATGGTATGGTGTGACTGTACTGAACATGGGGAGGTACAACTATGGTATGACGTGACTGTACTGAACATGGAGAGGTTGGTATGACGTGACAGTACTGAACATGGAGAGGGACAACTATGGTATGGCACTGGACTGAACATGGAGAGGTACAACTATGGTATGACGTGACTGTTCTGAACATGGAGAGGTACAACTATGGTATGAAGTGAGTGTACTGAACATGGGGAGGTACAACTATGGTATGACGTGACTGTACTGAACATGGTGAGTGTACTGAACATGGAGAAGTACAACTATGGTATGGCACTGTGCTGAACATGGAGAGGTACAACTATGGTATGACGTGACTGTTCTGAACATGGAGAGGTACAACTATGGTATGATGTGACTGTTCTGAACATGGAGAGGTACAACTATGGTATGATGTGAGTGTACTGAACATGGAGAGGTACAACTATTGTACTGAACACGGAGAGGTACAACTATGGTATGACGTGACAGCACTGAACATGGAGAGGTACAACTATGGTATGGCACTGGACTGAACATGGAGAGGTACAACTATGGTATGATGTGAGTGTACTGAACATGGAGAGGTACAACTATTGTACTGAACACGGAGAGGTACAACTATGGTATGACGTGACAGCACTGAACATGGAGAGGTACAACTATGGTATGACATGAATGTACAGAACATGGAGAGGTACAACTATGGTATGACGTGACAGCACTGAACATGGAGAGGTACAACTATGGTATGCCGTGAGTGCACTGAACATGGAGAAGTACAACTATGGTATGGCACTGTGCTGAACATGGAGAGGTACAACTATGGTATGACATGAATGTACAGAACATGGAGAGGTACAACTATGGTATGACATGAGTGTACAGAACATGGAGAGGTACAACTATGGTATGACGTGACTGTTCTGAACATGGAGAGGTACAACTATGGTATGACGTGACTGTACTAAACATGGAGAGGTACAACTATGGTATGGTGTGACTGTGCTGAACATGGAGAGGTACAACTATGGTATGAGGTATGACGTGAGTGTACTGAACATGGGGAGGCACAACTATTGTATGACGTGACTGTACTGAACAGGGAGGTACAACTATGGTATGACGTGAGTGTACTGACCATTGAGAGGTACAACTATGGTATGGTGTGACTGTGCTGAACATGGAGAGGTACAACTATGGTATGATGTGACTGTTCTGAACATGGAGAGGTACAACTATGGTATGACATGAATGTACAGAACATGGAGAGGTACAACTATGGTATGACGTGACTGTTCTGAACATGGAGAGGTACAACTATGGTATGACATGAGTGTACAGAACATGGAGAGGTACAACTATGGTATGACGTGACTGTTCTGAACATGGAGAGGTACAACTATGGTATGACGTGACAGCACTGAACATGGAGAGGTACAACTATGGTATGATGTGACTGTACTGAACATGGAGAGGTAGAACTATGGTATGGCGTGACTGTACTGAACATGGAGAGGTACAACTATGGTATGCCGTGAGTGTACTGAACATGGAGAAGTACAACTATGGTATGGCGTGAGTGTACTGAACATGGAGAGGTACAACTATGGTATGACGTGACTGTACTGAACATGGAGAGGTACAACTATGGTATGGCGTGAGTGTACTGAACATGGAGAGGTACAACTATGGTATGACGTGAGTGTACTGAACATGGAGAGGTACAACTATGGTATGACGTGAGTGTACTGAACATGGAGAGGTACAACTATGGTATGGCGTGAGTGTACTGAACATGGAGAGGTACAACTATGGTATGACGTGAGTGTACTGAACATGGAGAGGTACAACTATGGTATGACGTGAGTGTACTGAACATGGAGAGGTACAACTATGGTATGGCGTGAGTGTACTGAACATGGAGAGGTACAACTATGGTATGACGTGAGTGTACTGAACATGGAGAGGTACAACTATGGTATGACGTGAGTGTACTGAACATGGAGAGGTACAACTATGGTATGGCGTGAGTGTACTGAACATGGAGAGGTACAACTATGGTATGACGTGAGTGTACTGAACATGGAGAGGTACAACTATGGTATGACGTGAGTGTACTGAACATGGAGAGGTACAACTATGGTATGGCGTGAGTGTACTGAACATGGAGAGGTACAACTATGGTATGACGTGAGTGTACTGAACATGGAGAGGTACAACTATGGTATGACGTGAGTGTACTGAACATGGAGAGGTACAACTATGGTATGGCGTGAGTGTACTGAACATGGAGAGGTACAACTATGGTATGACGTGAGTGTACTGAACATGGAGAGGTACAACTATGGTATGACGTGAGTGTACTGAACATGGAGAGGTACAACTATGGTATGGCGTGAGTGTACTGAACATGGAGAGGTACAACTATGGTATGACGTGAGTGTACTGAACATGGAGAGGTACAACTATGGTATGACGTGAGTGTACTGAACATGGAGAGGTACAACTATGGTATGGCGTGACTGTACTGAACATGGAGAGGTACAACTATGGTATGACGTGAGTGTACTGAACATGGAGAGGTACAACTATGGTATGGCGTGACTGTACTGAACATGGAGAGGTACAACTATGGTATGACGTGAGTGTACTGAACATGGAGAGGTACAACTATGGTATGGCGTGACTGTACTGAACATGGAGAGGTACAACTATGGTATGACGTGAGTGTACTGAACATGGAGAGGTACAACTATGGTATGGCGTGACTGTACTGAACATGGAGAGGTACAACTATGGTATGACGTGAGTGTACTGAACATGGAGAGGTACAACTATGGTATGGCGTGAGTGTACTGAACATGGAGAGGTACAACTATGGTATGACGTGAGTGTACTGAACATGGAGAGGTACAACTATGGTATGACGTGAGTGTACTGAACATGGAGAGGTACAACTATGGTATGGCGTGAGTGTACTGAACATGGAGAGGTACAACTATGGTATGACGTGAGTGTACTGAACATGGAGAGGTACAACTATGGTATGACGTGAGTGTACTGAACATGGAGAGGTACAACTATGGTATGGCGTGAGTGTACTGAACATGGAGAGGTACAACTATGGTATGACGTGAGTGTACTGAACATGGAGAGGTACAACTATGGTATGACGTGAGTGTACTGAACATGGAGAGGTACAACTATGGTATGGCGTGAGTGTACTGAACATGGAGAGGTACAACTATGGTATGACGTGAGTGTACTGAACATGGAGAGGTACAACTATGGTATGACGTGAGTGTACTGAACATGGAGAGGTACAACTATGGTATGGCGTGAGTGTACTGAACATGGAGAGGTACAACTATGGTATGACGTGAGTGTACTGAACATGGAGAGGTACAACTATGGTATGACGTGAGTGTACTGAACATGGAGAGGTACAACTATGGTATGGCGTGAGTGTACTGAACATGGAGAGGTACAACTATGGTATGACGTGAGTGTACTGAACATGGAGAGGTACAACTATGGTATGACGTGAGTGTACTGAACATGGAGAGGTACAACTATGGTATGGCGTGAGTGTACTGAACATGGAGAGGTACAACTATGGTATGACGTGAGTGTACTGAACATGGAGAGGTACAACTATGGTATGACGTGAGTGTACTGAACATGGAGAGGTACAACTATGGTATGGCGTGAGTGTACTGAACATGGAGAGGTACAACTATGGTATGACGTGAGTGTACTGAACATGGAGAGGTACAACTATGGTATGACGTGAGTGTACTGAACATGGAGAGGTACAACTATGGTATGGCGTGAGTGTACTGAACATGGAGAGGTACAACTATGGTATGACGTGAGTGTACTGAACATGGAGAGGTACAACTATGGTATGACGTGAGTGTACTGAACATGGAGAGGTACAACTATGGTATGGCGTGAGTGTACTGAACATGGAGAGGTACAACTATGGTATGACGTGAGTGTACTGAACATGGAGAGGTACAACTATGGTATGACGTGAGTGTACTGAACATGGAGAGGTACAACTATGGTATGGCGTGAGTGTACTGAACATGGAGAGGTACAACTATGGTATGACGTGAGTGTACTGAACATGGAGAGGTACAACTATGGTATGACGTGAGTGTACTGAACATGGAGAGGTACAACTATGGTATGGCGTGAGTGTACTGAACATGGAGAGGTACAACTATGGTATGACGTGAGTGTACTGAACATGGAGAGGTACAACTATGGTATGACGTGAGTGTACTGAACATGGAGAGGTACAACTATGGTATGGCGTGAGTGTACTGAACATGGAGAGGTACAACTATGGTATGACGTGAGTGTACTGAACATGGAGAGGTACAACTATGGTATGACGTGAGTGTACTGAACATGGAGAGGTACAACTATGGTATGGCGTGAGTGTACTGAACATGGAGAGGTACAACTATGGTATGACGTGAGTGTACTGAACATGGAGAGGTACAACTATGGTATGACGTGAGTGTACTGAACATGGAGAGGTACAACTATGGTATGGCGTGAGTGTACTGAACATGGAGAGGTACAACTATGGTATGACGTGAGTGTACTGAACATGGAGAGGTACAACTATGGTATGACGTGAGTGTACTGAACATGGAGAGGTACAACTATGGTATGGCGTGAGTGTACTGAACATGGAGAGGTACAACTATGGTATGACGTGAGTGTACTGAACATGGAGAGGTACAACTATGGTATGACGTGAGTGTACTGAACATGGAGAGGTACAACTATGGTATGGCGTGAGTGTACTGAACATGGAGAGGTACAACTATGGTATGGCGTGACTGTACTGAACATGGAGAGGTACAACTATGGTATGACGTGACTGTACTGAACATGGAGAGGTACAACTATTGTATGGCATGACTGTACTGAACATGGGGAGGTACAACTATGGTATGATGTGACTGTACTGAACATGGAGAGATACAACTATGGTATGGTGTGACTGTACTGAACACGGAGAGGTACAACTATTGTATGGCGTGACTGTACTGAACATGGGGAGGTACAACTATGGTATGATGTGACTGTACTGAACATGGAGAGGTACAACTATGGTATGACGTGTGTGTACTGAACACGGAGAGGTACAACTATGGTATGGCGTGATTGTACTGAATATGGAGAGGTACAACTATGGTATGACATGACTGTACTGAACATGGTGAGGTACAACTATGGTATGACGTGACTGTACTGAACATGGAGAGGAACAACTATGGTGCGGCGTGACTATACTGAACATGGAGAGGTACAACTAAGGTATGACGTGACTGTACTGAACATGGAGAGGTACAACTATGGTGCGGCGTGACTATACTGAACATGGAGAGGTACAACTATGGTATGACGTGACTGTACTGAACATGGAGAGGTGCAACTATGATACGGCATGACTGTACTGAACATGGAGAGGTACAACTATGGTATGATGTGGGAAAACTGTAAACAGTATGTGCTGTACATGTAGCACATGGAAACAAATCTCACAGATGTTGGAAGACAACATTTCATTTCCACTTCCGCCAAGTGGTCCTCCATTGATGGCAAATCAATTCAACAGGACATTCAAACTTGGACACAGTATAAATACGCAAAAAAATGGTTAAACACTTTGTCACACAAGTCTTCCACTGAGAATTCAGTTTGTTCCTCTAAACTCTTACCACTTTTGGTTCTAACCGCTTCCTTAAGTTATCTGTTGAATAAATCAACAATTTTTTTAAATTACAAATATTTGATTGATATTCAATCTAAATTCCTTTTTGTAGTTTTGTGGTATCCTAAGGTTTTGGTATACAAATTGTACACTTGTCCTGTCAGTCGTTTCAATTCTAGATTATCTTAGTACTTTATATTTCCTTCTATTGATTTTACATCCTTTAACAATGGTGACTGTGCATGCCAAGTCTGTCAAAAAGCATCCATTTACTTGCAAATGTTTTAGATAGTTAATTTCATACCCGTGTTAGTAAGAGGGGAGATAACTTGGTTAGTTGATAATGATCATATAACTCATTGCAGATGAAAGTAAAACTTAGCAAACATTTTTCCTATTTCTGCACAGCCTTGGCTTTATTTTTGAATTTGCAACTGTTATTCTATTTTTGATTTTCAAAACAATACTGTGTTCCTAGGGTTTTCGTAGTGTTCTTGTGAGGTGATTTCTGACTATGTTAATGAGTCCAATTCAGCGCATTAGTTTAACACTAAGAGATATAGAGGGTTATTAAAATGTGGGCATCAAGCTTTGACGTGCCAAAGAAACAGCATGGCTCCAGACTCAAATGTCTGTTGTCTTAAAAATCAGATTCATTAAAAAAAATATTTATACCTTAAAATGCACTTATGTACGAGGAAAATAGCCTCCTTGTGCAAGTTATCATTTTATTTTTTATATCTTGATGTCATTTTAAATTATAAATCAAATAGTGTCATACAGTTTAGTTACTATACCCGATGTATGTATATATATATATATATAAATGGCATATGTATTTAACTCAGTACAAATATTTTCACAAAAGTGACACATAAGTGAAAGAAATTAAGTACTGGTATTTTATCAAATGAGTGACACACAATTCATCTTGTATTAAATGGGGAACAGTTAAATTTTGTATCATTACTTTTCTGTAACTCTATTGTTGAAAAGTTATCTTTATCTTTTGGTTTAGTTTGTTTGTAATTTAGTCTATTTAATGAACAGCTACGGTCATTTAAAATGTGCAAGATTGGGGTGTTTGAGGAAACGAAGCCGTAGTGGAAATGAAGCTGTAGTTCCCGGAGAAAAAACACCGACCTATGGCCAGTACCTGGCGACTGCCCCACTTAGGCCTCAAACCAATGACCAAGTGGTGGAGGGCTAAGGCCTCAAACCAATGACCAAGTGGTGGAGGGCTAAGGCCTCAAACCAATGACCAAGTGGTGGAGGGCTAAGGCCTCAAACCCATGACCAAGTGGTGGAGGGCTAAGGCCTCAAACCAATGACCAAGTGGTGGAGGGCTATAGTGGTAAGCAGAATGTCAGACACTTTAACCACCGCATGCAGCACCCTTATCACAAGTGACACATGTAAAAATTTAAATACATTCAATTACAAAAAGTTTCAGTTGTTGACAGAAACACCTATGGTGCCTTTTTATTCTTGATGATATCCATATCTGTTTTCTGTTTCATCAAATATTTACGTTCATTAAACAAAGCATTTTAGAATTGTAATACTTGGCTAATATACTAATTTATATATATAGGTTTATATTTATAGGCACAGTATAATACACAGACTTTTTGCTGTAAAAATACATTTTTCGATGTCCTGAAATTAATTACCATATTATGTATGTAGCCTGAGTTTCCTCTGGCCCTGATACCACACTTAAGACATTTTGACAGATAGAAACTCGGGCTACATCATAGTACATGTAGACCTAATCAGAACTCATTCATAACAAAACTGACTCACACCAAGCAGTTGGACAATAAAACACCTTACTGCAGTCATACACATATTTTTAGAAACCGACACATATTTGACAGATAGCAGGCCTCCTCCTGTACTCAGTAGACTATTAATTTGATGGGGATGTCCAGGATAGTCAGCATAATTTTTTTACGAGTCTACTGAGATTTGATAACAATTAGTTCATCCGATTCCTTTTCATTAACAGTGCAGCATATGTTATAAACGCAGCAGCAAGCTGACTATACTGTCGTGTTAATCTGGTCATGAACAGTAGCTTCTAGTGTGTGTTCGGTTACACCCGAGCCTCCGGCATGCATGCTCGAGCACGACAAGGTATCCTCGGATTTTATCATTGATCACAGCGTAGAGACGCCGAAGTTGTCATGCCAAACATGGAAAAGTCTCAAACCAACCAAAATTCGCCCATTTTGAATAGTAAATTGAAGAGTCGCTTCTTTGATTCCCATTTCAAAGCTTTGACTAAGTAAGCTTGTACGGAACCGTTTAAGGTATCGCTACACGACGAGACAAGACAAACGAAAGTAAAAAAAACTCTTAAGCATGTACGAGGAAATAAATTCGATAAAAATACACGTTTCACAACATCATAATGACGGTGAAACACACTTGAAATGAAAATAATACTATTCTGTTATTTTAAACTGTAACGATTACATAGAACTTGCAAACCATTTTCTCAATATTTCACAGATAAACTTACATGCTCCGTAGACCTCACTTTGTTTTAATGGTGGCAGCCATGTTATGACGTCACGTATGATGAACTATTGGAACTCCTCGGAACTTTACATCGACTAGTACCTTACTTTGACCTCGTGACCCCGACCTAGATCGTAGCAAACATGGCAGCAAGCACTGTTCATGTGGCTGCTGCAGATTCTGCCAATACAGTCGCTGAAATATTCAAAAAGATGTCGTATGGACCTGCACCTGAATCCGACAACGTTGTAAAGGTATACAACTTAAAATCAGTTATCAACACATTTTATTGTTGGGAAAAACTTGTATATGGAAGTGCTTCCCCTTTTGTACAGTACATATTGAGAACGAGTTTTATCAACTAAATACACAAACTTTAATCTTATCACTTAGTATTACAATTCATTTCTGAATACATTCCAAACTTCCTAAGGAGTTAAGTGTATACTCAAAGAAATATTCTGTAAGGTTAGTTTGTAACATGCACGACAGTCAATAACCAATTGCAATACAGCATTAGTAAATTGGGCCTAATCAGGTCCAGTACACTCTGCCTATTGAGCTATATAGCTGTAAAGACCTATTGACCTATCTGAAATAGGTCTTTTGAGCTATTTTCAAGTGATTTTCTTTTTTTAAGGAAAACGGAACAATGTCGCATTTAAAAGAAGATTGTATCATTAGGTTCATAACAAAAGACATAAGTATTCTTTTTAAAAAATAATGATGTAAAGAAATCGGAAATTTTACATTTATGAAAAATGAAAATAAACATCTAAATGTATGCTTTTTGAAGTCAACATTACCATTAACCTTATTGTTTTATGCGACTTTGCTTTAATTTAATGAAATTTGAAATCTGAGAAAATATAGCTCAATACAGCTATAATTTATAGGTGTATATATATAGCTATATAGGTCTTTATAGCTATATATATCTATATAGCTCAATCAACAGAGTGTACTGGACCTGCTAATACTGTATAAGCTCTAATTAAGCTTGTTTTCCAATCCCTGTGTAATCATATGTATATGAAGTTAATATAACATGTTTGAATATTGAATAAATACTGTTTAAACTAAATTGAACAGGACAGTCAACTATCTTTCATGAAAATTATGTATTTTTTGCTTACTCAGTTTTTAGGTTACCTGATCATAGCTAGGTCATGGTAACCTATTGTGATAGTCTTTTGTCCATCGTCGTGTGTTAACTTTTCCTTGTGAACACGATAACTTCAGTAAATGTTAACCGAGTTTGATGAAACTTTGTATGCAGCCATATATCAATAAGATCTCGGACGAGTTCGAAAATAGGAATTATTCGACAGTAACAGAGTTATTGTCCTTTGTAATATTATTATTATTGGATTTTGTGAACACGATAACTTGAGTAAATGTTAACCGAGTTTGATGAAACTTTGTATGCAGCCATATATCAATAAGATCCCGGACGAGTTCGAAAAATGGGAATTATTGAACGGTAACTTACAGAGTTATTGCCCTTTGTAATAATATTATTATTGGACCTTGTAAACACAACAATAACTTGGGTAAATGTTAACCGAGTTTGATGAAACTTTGTATGCAGCCATATATCAATAAGATCCTGGATGAGTTCGAAAAATGGTAATTATTGAACGGTAACTTTCATAGTTATTGCCCTTTGTATTAATATTATTATTGGACCTTGTGAACACGATTACTTGAGTAAATATTAACCGAGGTTGATGAAACTTTGTATGCAGCCATATATCAATAAGATCTCGGACGAGTTCAAAAAAAGGAATTATTCGACGGTAACTTACAGAGTTATTGCCCTTTGTATTAATATTATTATTGGACCTTGTGAACAGGATAACTTGAGTAAATATTAACCGTGTTTCATGAAACTTTGTATGCAGACATATATCAATAAGATCTCGGACGAGTTCGAAAATGGGAATTATTGAACGGTAACTTACAGAGTTATTGCCCTTTGTAATATTTTTATTATTGGACCTGGTGAACACGATTACTTGAGTAAATGTTAACCGAGTTTGATGAAACTTTGTATGCAGCAATATATCAATAAGATCCTGGATGAGTTCGAAAAATGGGAATTATGGACGGTAACTTACAGAGTTATTGCCCTTTGTAATAATATTATTATTGGACCTTGTGAACAGGATAACTTGAGTAAATGTTAACCGAGTTTGATGAAACTTTGTATGCAGCCATATTACGAGTTGGTGGTAACGTTTTGATTCATCCTATTGACAAAGCAGAAGCACTTAATACATTTTTTGCTTCCATTTCTAACTCAATTAATGTTTAGATACAAACTTACCTCCCCTTAGTCACCTTGATTTTAATAATATTATCATTACAGAAGAAGATGTTAGTGATCAAATATCAATTATAAAAGTCAAGAAACCAGCTGGACCAGATTATCTGTCACCAATTATTGTAAAAAAATCTCTTACCCTCCCTTGTGTTGCCACTAAAAATATTGTTTCAAAAAACTATTACTCTTGGAAAGATACTGTTATCATGGATATTGTCTAATATAAATGCACTATATAAAGGTAAATAAGGAGGAATGGAAGATCCTTGTAACTATAGGCCTATTGCTATAACTTCTTGCTTTATTAAAATTCTAGAAAAAATCATCTTTAAGTATTTATTTAATCATGTTACTAAATATCATATAATAAGTGAAAATCAATCTGGATTTCAACGTGGTGATTCAACAGTTAACCAATTACTATCCCTGTATAATATTATCTCAAAAAATCTTGATGAAGGAAAAGACATTAGGCTGGTATTTTGTGACATAAGTAAGGCCTTTGACAGAGTATGGCATAAAGGTTTATTGTATAAACTTAAGAAATATGGAATTAAAGGGAATCTGTATAACTGGTTTGAAAATTATCTGTCGGATAGGAAACAAAGAGTGATTTATGAAGGATATTCTTCTAGTTTCAAAAATATTACTGCTGGTGTTCCACAAGGGTCTATACACTTGGCCCATTTCTTTTCTTACTGTTCATTAATGATATAACTAATGAAATTCATACTCATATTAAATTATTTGCCGATGATACGTCATTACATGTAATTGTTGATGAAGATGTGGTTGCTCCATGTATGGATCTAAATGAAGATCTTGACTCTATTAGTAATTGGGCTAACCAACGGAAAATTAAATTTAATCCAGATAAAACTGTTGCATTAACGGTCACAAAAAAAACCCGAAATCATCCTCCACTTCTCTTTGATAATCAAATAGTAAATGAAATAACTAATCATAAACACTTAGGTCTTTTATTCAACTCCAAAGGTTCGGAGTAATCACATCCAAGAAATCTATGAAAAAGCATGCAAAAGATTGAATATTTTCAGAACACTCAAATACAAAGTTGACAGAAATGTTTTATTAACACTATATTATTCTTATGTAAGACCTATTCTTGAGTATGCAGATGTTATTTGGAACAATTGCACTATTGGCAAAGCGAAATTATTAGAATCTGTACAAATTGAGGCCATGAAAATAATAACTGGATTACGAAGTGGAACATCACATCAGAAACTATATTCTGAAACTGGGTTTGAACTGCTCTCTTCTAGGGGTCATAAGCACAAACTTATTTTAATGTTTAAAATCCTAAATCATAAGACCCCAGTATATTTACATGACATTGTTAAACCTTGTATTAATGATGCTGTTCCACCTCATAATCTTAGACAACACAGGTTTTTTAATATTCTTCGCTTTAGATCTAATTTATTTGGCAATAGTTTTTTTCCAGATGTCATGAGAATTTGGAATTCGCTTGATTCTGAAATAATCTCAGCACCATCATTAAATATATTCAAATCTAAATTGAATAATGAAAGATTCCCTCTTGTAAATATTACTTCTGTTTTTCTAAATTGTAGCCCTAGAAAGTTAAATGTTATCCTCTGCCAACTTCGAAATAATGCCAGTGACTTAAATTATGACAAATTTGCTGACCATCTATCTCCTGATTCTTCCTGTTCATCCAATTGAAAATTCTGAACACTTCTTCTTCACTTGCCCAAATTACTCTAATTATTCCAGAAACTTAATCCATGATATCTATACCAGAGCTGGATACTTAAATGTTCAACTTTTGACATCTGGAAGTACTGACTTACCATATGAAATAAATAAACTGATTTTGTCTAATGTTGAAAAATACATCAATGCATCTAAACGGTTAGGATGATGTATCTAAATGTTTAAATTCTATCAAACTATTATATATGTCTTTTTGCATGTATATATAATTAAATGAATTATTTGCTGTAATTAACCTTATTCAACCATAATTGTTTATAGTTGCTAGTCTATTTAGATAATATTGTAAATATCATATAGTGAATGAATATTGACACGAGTGTGTATAGAGAGTGTAAGTAGTTAATTGTATGAATGTATGATTGAGTTTATGAATTGAATACAATAATATAAATAGCTTATTAATTACATGTATATATATAATATCATACTTACACCATCATGGAGAAGATTGATATAGGCCTAGCCTGTTATCTAATCCATTTATATATGTTTATTTATATATATAATAAAATTTGTTAAAACTAAAACAAGACTGCAGAAAACATCCTCCACTTCAGGGGATGCAATAGTTAGTAATATGATATGGACTCCTATGCATTCTCTCAAAAAATACCCATTTGTGTTCAATGGTGTAAGTTTGGAAATGGCACGTTTGCAGTCATTGACTGAGACACAGGAATCTGACAAAGTTAGCAAATTAAAAAGGATATTAGTAATTGAACAGTAACAGTCCTAAAGACAAGAGAACACAGGTTACCTAACAAAACCATTTTACATAGTTTATAAATCCCCCAGAACAAATATTAATGAAGTTAGTTAATGTACTGGGCAACCAGATCGTTCACTGGCACTACATACCCCATGAATTATAGGCTCATCAATAAGGGTTTTTTCACAGAAACAATGTAGATCAGAGCCTCTGTAATGTATTACTAAATGCACAACCAGTGTTATTTAATTTGGTCCTGTGTATCTATTAGAATCAATGGTGAATGCATTACTTACAGGACAGTTGGGTTTTTAAGAAAAAGCACACAAAGTCCAACTAGGTTGGTTCTAAAAAAATTTTTTTTTTACTACATGGTTATATCAAAGCAGCAAAACTATCAGTGCTCACCTGCTATCACAATCTTTCAACAACCGTGCATTGCATGCTTCTTGGTGAAAACCCTTTCCCACACCAAGCCATAGTGACACTCATTAGTAAGCTAAAACACCTATATCTTGTTTACTGAATGATATGCTTGGCTGATCTCACAACTTTGTGAGGGTCCCAATGCTTCAGTTGTTAGGGGAATGCTCATAAGGACTCATAGATGAACACACTAAACTGTGCTGAAACTGCAGGCAGAGATGTTTCCTTATATGTCTATGATACAGGCAAAAAGTTTGTTTGCATTAAACTTCCTACATTTGTGGTTTAATTAATTGGCTTGGATAGCATTTTGATAACAATGAAGATAAAATAACAATGACTAGCCTTCCTATATTAAATATCTCTCAAATATTTATTATTTCATATAATTTTGAATACTGGACTGGGTCAATCGCCGGCAACCTACAGTACATTGTAGCTCAATTGGTTACAGCATCTGTCTAGAGTTGAGAGGGTCCTGGGTTTGAATCCCATTCTGGCCACATATTTCTGTTTCTCCTGTTACATAAACTTACAAAATTGGTGAGCTTGCCAAACATTGTTTAACTCATTTACCCCTGAAGTTTCATAATGAACTATTCCAACCTTTGAAATGGAAGAGTTCAAATGTGTCTTCATGCAGGGTGAATGAGTTAAGCAGTCGGTGAATGCTTGACTAACAAATACCGGAATCTTGTAACCATTGACATGTCTTAGAGGGATAAGGACCTATAAATTGAGGGAGGAATAAAGCATATTGGACTTGATTTAATGTAAAATCTGATGGTGTTCCCCCTTTACAAAATTGGAGTATCTGCTCCTAGAGGAGAAATGTTGGATTGGATGTTTACAGTCACAATATCAAAATCAAATATTGAAACTAAAACTACAACACTAATTATTAGTGAATATATTACTGTTATATGTTTATTCTTCAAGTTAAAGAGTCATTTATATAGTTAAACATACCAAACAAAATTTGTGGTATAATCTAATAACAGGAAGAAATATTACCCATGTGTATCAGCCAAGGAAATTTTGGGGAAAATACTGTTTTACTGGCAAGCTAGGTTTAAAGTGATGCCTTATAACCCTGGGATGTGCTCACTACTTCATCAGTGTCAAGCATGGTCAGTGGCTGGATGGGTGACCACCAGCACATTGCAGTTGGTGGTCAAGCAGTGACCCTCAAGAAGTAGGGAAGGTGCATTGGTACACAGGAAGTCGGAACACCTCTATCACTTCAAAATCTGGCACAACACTATCTTTTGAAAATATGCCATTTATAATCTGGTTAAACAAGTGACACCTGGTTAGGAAATAACCTTACTTTGTATAAACACAGCTCTTTTGTACAGAGACGATCATAAGAAGCCTACATGTATGTATTTAATTTATGTATGATTTGCAGGCTTGGTTGGATGACCATGACAAAGCTTTTGGCCTTTTCATTGATGGAAAATGGGTAAAACCAGAGGGCAGAAAGACATATGCTACAAAAAACCCAGCTACAGGTAAATATAAGGTGAACATAATTGTAAAGCTGTTCTTTCTGGCTTACAATTGTGATATCAACTAAGACTCTATCACTGACGACTGTGACATGTGTTTTTGAAGGAAATGGAAATGATTCCCGTTAGTGAAAGAGCATAAATGGGATTTTCACAGGGCAAAATTTAGCTGAAGTGCAGTTTTATATATGAAAGTTTGCTTCATGATTCAATTGTGGGGGTTATTGAGTGTTGATATGAACCCTTAAAATGTTTTAATGATAACCAATAAACCCTTACATTGGCGTATGTAGGTTGCTCCATCACATGTACAGACAAACCTGTAACTGATTCCCAGGCCTTGGTACGTACTTGTCTATAATTTTATCCCTAAACCAATCTCTATGGGAAGCTTGCATCCTGGCATAATTTATATCAATGTATGATGTTACTTAAACAGGAGAAGTCCTGGCAACCACCATACAGGCTGAAAAACAGGATGTTGACTTGGCTGTTCAATCGTCTAAGAAAGCTTACGCATCATGGAGCAAACTGAGCCCCCATGTTAGGGCTAGATACATGTACAGGTATGGAATTATAAGCTAGATACATTTACAGGTATGGAGTTATAAGCTAGATACATGTACAGGTATGGAGTTATAAGCTAGATACATTTACAGGTATAGAATTATAAGCTAGATACATGTACAGGTATAGAATTATAAGCTAGATACATGTCCAGGTCTGGAGTTATAAGCTAGATACATGTACAGGTATGGAGATATAAGCTAGATACATGTACAGGTATGGAGTTAGAAGCTAGATACATGTACAGGTATAGAATTATAAGCTAGATACATGTCCAGGTCTGGAGTTATAAGCTAGATACATGTACAGGTATAGAATTATAAGTTAGATACATGTACAGGTATGGAGTTATAAGCTGGATACATGTACAGGTATGGAATTATAAGCTAGGTACATGTACAGGTATGGAGTTATAAGCTAGATAAATGTACAGGTATGGAATTATAAGCTAGATACATATACAGGAATGGAGTTATAAGCTGGATACATGTACAGGTATGGAATTATAAGCTAGGTACATGTACAGGTATGGAGTTATAAGCTAGACACATGTACAGGTATGGAGTTATAAGCTAGATATATTTACAGGTATATAATTATAAGCTAGATACATGTTCAGGTATAGAATTATAAGCTAGATACATGTACATGTATGGAATTATAAGCTAGATACATGTACAGGAATAGAATTATAAGCTAGATACATGTACAGGTATAGAGTTATAAGCTAGATACATGTACAGGTATGGAGTTAGAAGCTAGATACATGTACAGGTATAGAATTATACGCTAGATACATGTACAGGTATGGAGTTATAAGCTGGATACATGTACAGGTATGGAATTATAAGCTAGGTACATGTACAGGTATGGAGTTATAAGCTAGATATATTTACAGGTATATAATTATAAGCTAGATACATGTTCAGGTATAGAATTATAAGCTAGATACATGTACAGGGATGGAGTTATAAGCTAGATACAGGTACAGGTATGGAGTTATAAGCTAGATACAAGTACAGGAATGGAGTTATAAGCTAGATACAAGTACAGGTATGGAATCATAAGCTAGATACATGTACAGGTATGGAGTTAGAAGCTAAATACATGTACAGGTATAGAATTATAAGCTAGATACATGTACAGGGATGGAGTTATAAGCTAGATACAGGTACAGGTATGGAGTTATAAGATAGATACAAGTACAGGTAGGGAATTATAAGCTAGATACATGTACAGGTATGGAGATATAAGCTAGATACATGTACAGGTATGGAGTTAGAAGCTAGATACATGTACAGGTATAGAATTATAAGCTAGATACATGTACATGTATGGAATTATAAGCTAGATACATGTACAGGAATAGAATTATAAGCTAGATACATGTACAGGTATGGAATTATAAGCTAGATACATATACAGGTATGGAGTTATAAGCTGGATACATGTACAGGTATGGAGTTATAAGATAGATACAAGTACAGGTATGGAATTATAAGCTAGATACATGTACAGGTATGGAGTTTTTAGAGCAAATTGTTGATTAGGGCAGTAACCTTGTTTCCTTGTGTTCAAAAAAATCCTATGTACGTTTATTGCATATAAAAAGTCAGAACAAGTTCATAATGATGCACATTCAGTGAAATGAACATTGTCTATATCATATTGTGTAATCTAACTACTTTCAGTACAGTAACATATTATAGGATGAAGTTTGTCCAAGTATTGATGTTCCTAATGTTTTCTTCACAAGTGAATATCTAACGTTAGATTGGTGAACTTTGAATCAATATGCTGTAGTTATGCACTATGCAGTATAAATTTGAGTTTACATAATAGATAAAAACATTTCTTTTCTCATTTGAAAATGCTACATATGAGTCCTCAGAGGGTAGTAAATTGTGTATTCCACTGGTGTAAGTGTTTTGTATTGTTTGCGTCCGTCAGTATTGCTCGTCACATCCAGAAACACATGCGTCTGATGAGTGTCCTGGAGGCTATGGACAATGGGAAGACTTTCCGTGAGACGAAGGATGCTGACGTCCCCATTGTGGTCCGTCACTTCTATCACTATGCTGGCTGGGCTCAACTGGCCGACACTGAAATGAAGAACTGGAAGTCTGTTGGTAAGGTTTCTCAATTCTTTATTGGCCCGTCATGTAAATATGATTCAGAATTGAGGAAATTGTAAAATGGTCTAGTAACAGTAGAGGGTAACATTGTCTCTGATTAAACAAAAGTACCTATGCTACCAATTCATTATGGTGAATTGATTTTGCTGGAACAGATGAATTTAAGGAAATATTTGATAAAATAAGAGACAACGGCCAGAGGCCTGAATTATTTATTTGAGCAACATTTTCAAATTTGAGCGACATTTTGATTCCACTGTGATACACTCACTACAGTTAACTCATCCTATTCTACAAATTGAACCTACCTGTAGGATTTCTCATTAGCGTTTACAGATGACTGTTATATAGATGGCTATTTAAATATGTATAATCGAAAGTGGCACATTGCAACATGACTGGTTTAACTTTGTTGTTCATTATGCTTTTCCCCAATGGGCCTTTAAAGAGTTTGGCTTTTATAACTGTGTTGCACATTAACGTTAGTAGGTGGCTCACATACAAATATTCTGAAATATTGTTTTTCCTCAAATTAACAAATATGTAATTAAAAGTACCAAACACATCATTTGCAAAAGGTGACTTGTTGAAATCAGATACTGAAGTCATATTTGAATATATCAATGTCTGTCAGCAAATTGCAATCTTAAAATAACATTGGAACAGACAACAGAATAATACTTATAATTGTAGAAACAAATAACTGCAAAATAAAACTCGGAACAGAAAATCATTTTGCTCTATCTCCAAAACCTCTGGCCTCATTTCAGAATCTTAAGGACTGTACCATACACATACACATACTTGATATAAGTCCTGATTTCAGCAATGCATAGGTCTATGACAATATAGCTTTCTGAAAAAATGTAACAGGTTTTTCTCTACAAATGTATTTGGTAATAGGCAGTGAGGTCTAGATTGGTCCGACTACCAGGTAAGATACAGTGAGGTCTAGATTGGTCCGACTACCAGGGAAGATACAGTGAGGTCTAGATTGGTCCGACTACCAGGTAAGATACAGTGTGGTCTAGATTGGTCCGACTACCAGGTAAGATACACGACTGGTACTGGTAGTAACATGTTGTTAATGACTTTGTACTGTACATATATATAGGTGTGGTTGGGGCTATTGTACCATGGAACTTTCCACTGATGTTGTTGACGTGGAAGATCGCCCCAGCACTGGCCATGGGAAACACTGTAGTCCTTAAACCTGCTACCTACACCCGCCTGTCTGCTCTCTTATTGGCCGAGATCTGTGCTGAGGCTGGACTGCCACCTGGTGTCTTTAATGTTATCACAGGAAGTGGAGCTATGGGGAGCCAACTTGCAGATCATGAGGATGTGGACAAAGTGGCATTTACAGGGTCCACAGGGGTAAGGAGGACCAGGTTCTGTCTTGTCATATTTAAACCATATGTTTTTACCTAGAACCCTGGATCATATATCTAGTAGTCATTTTCCATATATTATTTTGTTTTAAGTGTGTGAAAAGATATTTCGTTTTGAACTTTTACTGCTAGTTGGAGTAATTGACAGTTCAAGTCAAGGTTGAAAAGTGGTATCTATATGATACAAGCTGGTAAAAGAAATGCTCTTTTTAAACCTGATGATCCAATTGGTAAGAAGTTACCTGATGATCGAATTGGTAAGAAGTTTCATTATCATATGTGTTTGCTAGGTCCAACAAACATTGATGTGCGTAGTTGCAAGGCTGGATAGGAACTTTATAATCATATCTGATAACTAGGTTGGACAAACTCTGAGGCGCCTGGTGGCAGGGACAGGTAAGAAGCTGTCCCTGGAGCTTGGAGGGAAGTCCCCGGTGGTGGTGTTTGAGTCAGCTGACCTGGACAGTACAGTGGAAGGAGTAGTAGATGCTATCTGGTTTAACCAAGGACAGGTATTACACGGCTGAGGATTTTGAGAGAATCACTTGATGCTTGATAGAAAACTTTTAAAAGTAATAATAAGAGATTCAATTATTTCCTGGATATTGTAAAATATGTATAAGTAAAAATGGAAATTTTGAATATTTACAAACTTAACATACTTTATATTCACATACTTTATACAGGTAAAACATTTGCATATACATCAATTTGAATGTTTTATGAAGAACCTTAATTGAACAATTATACTATGAAATATATGCAAATACTCTAAATACATTGAGCTGTTAAGATTTATGATACATGAATTGTATAAAAAGTTGTAATGAATAGGACTAATAATTTGATTCTACTATTATAACATAGGTCATTTCCGTCATACTTTTAAATCTGAAGTTTGGTTAACAGGTGTGTAGTGCTGGGTCCCGCCTACTTGTTCAGGAGTCTATCCTTGATAAAATGGTTGCCAAACTAAAGGAACGCCTTACTCATTTCCGTGTCGGAGATTCTCTAGACAAGGGCATGGACATGGGAGCCATTGTGGATGAGTCACAGAGACGCTCCATACAGGAGTTTGTAGACTCAGCTCGCAAGGAAGGAGCAGAGGTGAGGTCACCAAAGGTCAAAGGGGCAGAGGGTTTCTGTATAACATGAAACTATCACAGTCTACTTACATTTATAGTTTGCATTGCTGAAGTTGAATGTTGAATACTTTCAGGAATTAAGTTAACACACATATTGGTCTACACTGAAATTTTATACATGTGTACCAATAAAATGGTTGGAGACAAAATATAACTGTAAAATAACCACAAACTTTAAATGTTATATATCATCAAAGAAGAAAAAATGGAAAATAAACTTGATATTCATTTTAAAGGTCTGAAATGAATGATTTGGTTTTAATGTGTTTAGTGTCTTACTGAATATGAAACAATCACTGGAGTAACTTTTAAATTTATGCGGGTATTATTTCCCCGTATTGTATTTCAACTTGAAATAAGTCTAATTTGCCTTCAACTAAAGTGCAAATTCATATTTTCAGTGTTAGCACTGTATATGTCAAAAATGGGGTCCTTTTCAAATTAAACAGGGACCTTTTGCATAGTTCAAATGGAATATTTAAAGAGAAGTAGGGTCCTTTTGAAATTCTGTGTTTGTAAAAAGGATATGGGAGTGGTTTAAATGTTAGTTTGTATCTATGTTATGCTTTATATATGTTCCTGGTGTTTGAGATACAATTTTCAACTATGCAGATAAAATGTTAATAATCTGATTCTCAAGACTTCGAGAAATAAAACTATCTTTTTCTCTACAGGTATTCCAGATAGAGTCATCTGTTCCCACTAACGGGTGTTTCTACCCTCCGACAATCATCACCAATGTGCAGACAGTCTCCAGGGTCGTTGTGGAAGAGGTTGGTATTGATAATCAGGGCTGCAGTCATCTAAATGTTAGATTTAAAAGTAGATGAACCAGTCTTTCGAAAAGATCATGACTGAAACATTATTTTCTCAATGTCTGAATATTTGTAAGTTCACTGTTGGATGTATCCAAAGCGGACAGTGCTAAAGTATGTGCTGCTCCTCCCCCATGTCTTTACTGTCTAGATCAGGGCAAGGAACCAAAGGTCAGAGACGCCTTATCTTTGTCCTGGCAATGACCTCAGAAAATCAAAAATCATCGTCATGAAACTCTATCGATTGCTTTACCATTGTAGACATTGTGTAGAGGGTGTAGAGGTGTAGAGGTGTAGAGGGTGGTGAGGTGTAGAGGTGTAGAGTTGAGGTAAAGAGGTGTAGAGGTGTAGAGGTGTAGAGGTGTAGAGGTAAGGTGTAGAGGTGTAGAGGTGTAGAGGTGTAGAGGTGAGGTGTAGAGGTGTAGAGGTGAGGTGTAGAGGTGTAGAGGTGTAGAGGGTGTAGAGGTGTAGAGGTAAGGTGTAGAGGTGAGGTGTAGAGGTGTAGAGGTGTAGAGGTG